TCCCCAGATGTGGGACTCTACACTTGTCCTTGAACTTCATGAGTTTCCCTTTGCCCAGCTCTCCAGCCTGTCCCAATCTCGTTGGATGGCAGCACAGCCTTCCTGTGTGTCAGCCACCCCGCTCAGTTTCGTACTATCAGTGAATTTGCTGAGGGTGCACTCTATCCCCTTGTCCAGGTTGTTGATGAAGATATTCAACAAACTGGACCCAACATTGATCCCTGGGGAACATCACTGGCCACAGGCCTCCAATTTGACTCTCTGCCACTGATCACAGCCCTCTGAGTTCTGTTGCTGAGCCAGTTCACAGTCCACCTATGTATCTTAAGCAGCAAAGTCATCAAGAAAATGTACTAATTTAGACAACTTACCTGAAGAACATAACTGCATACATGTTAGACAGAGTCTGGGTTCATCAAAAGAAAATAATACTTATTTAAATTGGATATCTTTTGAAAACACTAGACCCCCTGGAGGACTTAAGAAATAAAAGGCTGACTTTGACACAGAGTTTTTCTGTGTTGCTCTAGCAGTGCATTATAACTGTGGTGTCAGTAAATTGCTTAAAATAGATGGGACAATGTGCAGGCTGGGAAAAGGTGTTTCAAGCTTAACTTCTTCCTCTGTTCATCCTATTAAAAGACAGTGACCTCTCCCTTTGTCAAAACACCAGCCAATGCCCTGCTCTCAGATCAGGACATAGCTTCAAGCGTGTTTATTTCAGCTGGAGTTCTACCCTACAACAGCCTCTTTCATTTTAAATCCTACTTCTTTCTCTGTGTTAATGTAACTTTGAGAGTTGCATGGTGAACAAGATGAATCATAGATTACCAGGTTGGAAGGATCATCTAGCCTAACCCTTGGAGGAACTCACCTGGGTAAAAAACAGGTAGCAGAAGAAGATTTGAAGCTCTTTCAGTTAGGTGCTGAGAAAGTCAATCTAAATGACTTCTAAAGGTTTGTCTCATTCAGTGGCAAGTGACTTTTGGTTCAAGGATTTGAGAACCATTTGCTTCTGCTATAGCTGCCCTCAACCTGTCCATTCTGTGTCCTTGTCTCTACTTAAAGTCTTGGGAGCAATTCTGGTAGCAGATCAGAATGTGACTGAATGGCTCTACTGCTCAGACTAAACCTTAGCTCAACAGTATCTTCATGAGCAGTTTAAGAAGGCGTGTCAGGAACTGCAGCAGAGCTGACACTCCCTTCAACTCTGCTAGAGAGGAGTCTCCAACGGGGAGCTTGTCAAGTAGCTGGGAGAAATACTGGAACTAAATCTATCAAACCAGCACAATGGTTACTTTAATGAAGGACATGGTAGCATGAAAACAAAAGCTGAAATATAGCATGATTTTCACAGAATCCTGCTGAAGGCACAGACATACTCCTCGGACTATCGCTTCTGGTGTTTCTCCAGCTTATATTTATTGTGACTGGATTGTTGGTTCTTGACGATTTAAATTATCCACATGGTGGTAGGAGATATGTGGCTGCAATTTCCTTCACCTCTATAGACAGAAACTTTATTGTCTGTTCTGAAGCTCTCTCTGTGATATGAGTCTAAACTTAAAGATGATTTAATTCTTATGTACACTTAAGTCATTTGATCTTACAGTTTAGGTGTGCAATAGGATGTTGAAAACTTGCTGGTTGGTATTAACTTCTGATTTATCTGAAGTAACATTGACATCTGTGGTTTCTATGCAAAGGAATGTTATTAATATTGATACTTGTTTGTTTCCAGGCAAATGGAATATATACAATAGCAAAGCTGATTTTACCAAAGAAAGAAAGGAATGCTGAAAAGGCTAGTTTATTACAGGTAACTCCGTTTATTATCACTGCAAACAATCTCTGAGAATTTATTTTTATTTTAAAGTTTATTTTAAAGTGCAGTAAAAAAATTTTACTTCAAGGGTAAAAGAAACCCACCAAAGCAAAACTAGGAATAACAAATGGCCCAGGAACTAGAAGTGAAATAGTGACTCAGTTTCTGGTGTTCTATTCTGGTCTTTGTTTCTGATACCTCATATAGTGTAAAGAAAAGTAAATGTTTTTCTCATGATAATATTTCCTCCACTTTTTCCGGCTGCCTAGCATGAGATCTTCTTTTTAGTGCCTTGGTCTCCAGTGAAACTCAACGTAGATTTAACACTTTACTAGTATCTGCTGTGGCTGCCCCTTCCCTGGAGGTGTTCAAGGCCAAGTTGGACGGAGCCTTGAGTAGCCTGATCTAGTTGAGAGATGTCCCTGCCCATGACAGGGAGGTTGGACTAGATGATCTCTAAGGTCCCTTCCAGCCTAGGCCATTCTGTGATTCTTCCTGGAGCATCTTACTGTGGCTGCTAAATAAAATACAGGAAAATATAATGTGAAGTAGAGCAAATTTAAGTGTTGGATAAATACAGGGATAACAAGCATAGAATGGCTCTTGGTTCTGCATGTCAATACCCCTGTAAATGTACTACCTTGAGGTGACTTAGGCTAAAAGTTAGCAGTAGTAATTAATTACCTGGTAGCTCTTCTCCAACCTCTGAAACTGTGTTGATGTTTCTCTAAGCTATCAAACAGTGGTGATGTGGGATTTAGAGATGAACACAACTGCTCCTGCTCCATTTGCCCTTCTGTGGGCAAGTGTGAGGAGGTCCTCAGCAGGAGGTGGTGAATGCAGTCAAGTTCCTGCCTCTCACCTGTTCTCATTGTTCTGGCATAGCCCTGCACTATCATGGCAATACAGCTGCTCAGCTATCTAATCAGGTAGTAATGCCTGGGGAGTGAGGGAAGGCATTTTCACACACCAAAAAATAATCATTGTGGTGTCATTTGTCTCATCACAGTTCTAGTTTAGGGTTGGAGTGCGGTTCGGTGTAGGAGGTGCCTTTCTTCTGCAACGAGGCTTTGTATTGCACTTCACTTAAATCATTTTAAGAATAAGATAAATAAAAATCTTCCTACAGGGTATATGAAACCAACATGGAGTGCATTAAACTGGAGCACATGCTGAGTACAGTTGTCTCATACAACTGTCAGGAACTTAATTTAAGGCCACCAAGATTTTTAGATTCCAGCAGAATGCGTTGGAAATAATTTATAAGAAATACTAAGCAACTGTAGTTGGGTTAAACGTGGAGACATGTGAATTAATAATCACATAAGAAAACTAAATCTTGTTCATGCAAACAGTAAGAGGTATGTTTTTTGAAGCCTTGTTCAGATTCTCACACTATCTGTGTTATTTTGATCATTGTTAGAGCTATGCAATACAGTTGCAGCTACTGGAATGCTCATTTTGGATTTCATAGGCATTTTTCATAGAATTCTCACAATGCTGATCTGGTTTCTTTACTGCTCCATTTTCTGGGTTTTCATCAATTACATTTTCAGCTTCTTTCTACTATACTGCCTTAGTGATCTTACTCCATTATTTCAAGGGTGGCAGTGATATCAGTCATTTATTCTGCATATGTCCATATATAGAAATCATCATGCCTTAACTGAAGTTTATTGCCAATGTTAAATATTAATCTCATAATACTAGTGTGAGAAAGACAAGTATTACTGACATTTAAAATATCTATTTATCTCATTACTAATCTGTTATCATGTCTCTTCACTGATAGGCTTTCTACAGTAAGATCTGTGTATAGTCTCTGAAGCGAAAAACTCTGGAGGTAGCAACTATGGCCCCGGCTGCCTAAGTTGTTTTGCACAGCTACATTGTGACTGACATGCAGTGGAATGTTAGATATTGTAACACAGCATCCTTCTCTGGTGATGGGGAGTTTACTTTGGACTAAAAAGCAACATTGTCTGTAAAAGAGCTTCTTAGCAGAATTAACATACATTCCCTTTCTGTAAATTTTCAAGTATCCTACTTTCTTCAAAAATATGATTTGGTCTGTATTTTCTTCCTTTAATGCATTTTCTATGTATTGGAATATCTCTTTTTAACATGGTAATTAATTCTGCAGATATCTCGAAGATGCCGTTACCATTGTCTAAATAGGGATTGTTACACTGAACTGTTGTAGTGTTTTAGTCACTGATGCAATTAAGTAATTCTAAATTACGTTAAAGGCATTTATTATATGTGTTGTGTCAACAGTTAGGGCTGGGCCAGCCTCAAACCAGGACACATTATTTCAGATATCAATACCTTATTTCCATTTGGCTTACGTTATTCAGTCATCTTTGCTTGGTCAGCCATGTATGTGCCATATTGACTCTCGATAAACAGAATTAACACTGAGTTGCATAAAAGCATACACATTAACTAGCTGCCAGTGGCTGTTTTAAAAACAAAATTTCTTCAGCAGAGATCATATTGAAACTGAGGTACATAAAGATCTCTGTAAAGTGATGAACTTATTATTAAAAAAAAAAAAAAGACCATTCTCTCTTTCTCACTTTTTTGTGTCCTGTTAGAACTTTTCAGAAAAAATGCAAAATGCTGTTTACTTTGTCATTAAAAAAATACTAGTTACATTTACATTTTTCAGCATTGGATAAGGAAGTAGATCTCGAGTCTTGAGCTATCTACAAATGAAAGACTTAGGTGTTCCTCTGTGTATGCTATAGCTGACTTTTTTAAACTTCTTTTTTTCCTAAATCACCCTGCCTATTTTTCAAACACAGGAGAAACTCAATGTAGTTTTACTCTCTTCATTATCAGATAAATTATGTAATCTGTCTAGTCATTTAAGTACAAATTTACCAACATGTAAAGTCAAGGGGAATCTTTGATATTTATCAGTGGCTTTTCCATTTGCGTATAAATTTGTCATTAAGTATTTTTTCCTGCTATAGTGTTATGCTTTCAGAGCCCTGAGATTTCTCTTCAGTATGGAAAGAAATCGACACATCTTTAAAAGGTATGTTAACAAAATGTTTTGCGAAGCTCCTTTAGGATATCTTTCAAAAACTGACACTCCCATCAGAAAGACATATTTTTTAAATGTCATTTATTTTCAACAAGAAGGAATAGCAATGGGGACGTCTGTCCTGTCCAGCAGCTACAGCCAGCCATTCTTGCGTTCCGTCACTGCCAGCCTGCAAGATTTAGATGTTCTGTGTGGGGACTTCTGCTGTATGCATGCCAGAGAACCTAGCTCTGTAAGGGACCCTTCCAATGCCTTGAATCAACATTTAAAATATACTGAGGACAGATTTAATACTATGGGAGATAAACCATACTTTTATCCTGAAGATTAGCTTCTGCAAGTATCCAGCCCTGGAGAGTAACAAGTAACTGAGAGAAGTAAATTTTTTCTCTGAGCCCTCTACTCCTTCGCATGGGACTGTACAACTTTGCATCAAGCTGTTTTACTGAGGAGTGTTGCTGAAAGGTTTGGATCAATAAGGAAAAAATGTCTCTCATCAGTTACCCATTTTTACTAGTAAGATGGCAATTTCACTAGATTGACTACAAAGGCAGTGTAAAACCCAACAGTTTGATTTGTGGGGTTAGAATAGTAATCATGCTGCCTAGGGGTCCACCTGTCAGTAGTGTTTCAATATGATTTCATTCTGTACAATAAATTACTAGAATTCTAAACATAGCTTTTGTGTTATTTTTACTTTTTAAAAAATGGTTTTTGTCCTGAAAGGGCCGCAGTTTGCAATGAATGTTCATTGTGTCAAGTTCTGGAAGTGATAAATCTGTACTAATTCACTGTCTTTCATATTTTTTCAAATGCCTTAATTTTATGTATTTCTACTTCTGCCAAAAATTTAAGAAGAAACAAACCTTCAGTAAAGCATGTCACTAATCAAATATCTGTTAGATTTTGATTTTCTCAGTCCTTTTTAACTTTTTTACTAGAATTCTTGACAAAAATTCCAAGATAGGTGTCATGATTCTTTAAATGCAACGCAGACAAATGTTAATTCTGTCAGTTAATCATTACAAGAGCGAACTCGGATAAAGTGACAAGCATACTGTAAAGTACTATAAGAAAAAAAATAGAAAATTTACTGGAGACTCAAGAGGTGCATTGACTTTAAAGAGGCTTATACTTGTTTATAGAATGGACACGTGTATTAATGCCCAACCAGTGGAGGCTGAAGTCTGACTTTTGAAAGGTCCTTTAACTCCGATGTATATAATGTTAGACGGTTAATATCTGAATAGATTCGTAAAAAATAAGTGTATTATTTTGAAGGTTCTAAAGCAGATTGTACTAATGAATACTGAAAAGTCTCTGCTGTAGATTAATGGTTGCATATACAGTTTCTAAAATATATCAAAATTTAATCCTTTGTAGACTTTTCCCTACTGACTTGTTTGAAATCTTCATTGATATTGGACATTATGTGCGTGATATCAGTGCTTATGAAGAGTTGGTATCAAAGCTAAATTTATTAAAGGTAAGTAAAAACTTCCATAGCTTTAAGAAACTGCATTCTTTGCACATGCACAGGGAAGATGTGAAATATTTATTTGTATTTTAATTTGTAACTAGGAGGATGAATTGAAGCAAATTGCTGAAAGTATTGAGAGCTTGAATCAGAATAAGGCACCTACAAAACACATAGGCAGTTACGCCATTTTAGAACACCTTGGCAGTGGAGCTTTTGGAAGTGTATATAAGGTAAATTTCCCTTTTGGTCTCCCTTATGAGGAAAGGCTGAGGGAGCTGGGTCTCTTTAGCTTGGAGAAGAGGAGACTGAGGGGTGACCTAATTAATGTTCATAAATATGTAAGGGGTGAGTGTCACGAGGATGGAGCAAGGCTCTTCTCGGTGACAACCGATGGTAGGACGAGGGGTAATGGGTTTAAACTGGAACACAAGAGGTTCCACCTAAATTTGAGAAGAAACTTCTTCTCAGTACGGGTAACAGAGCACTGGAACAGACTGCCCAGGGAGGTGGGGGAGTCTCCTTCTCTGGAGACATTCAAAACCCGCCTGGATGCCTTCCTGTGTAACATCGTCTAGGTGTTCCTGCTCCGGCGGGGGGATTGGACTAGGTGATCTTTCGAGGTCCCTTCCAGTCCCTAACATTATGTGATTCTGTAATATACAAATTTGAGGGAAGGCTTCATGAAGAGGGTCTAATACTTCTTTTAGGCATTACCTTCCTCTGAATTTCAGTAGGGAAATGCAGGTGTGAAAAAGTCCTGTGTGGATCTGGGCTTGTTGTTAGTATTTACTGTGATCTTGTTTGTCCTCTCTTTATAAGAGAGCTTAATAAGGTTGATAAGATTGACTAGTGCCTCTCTTAGGTTTCCTATTTTACTTTCTTTTAATTCCTTTTCACAAGCAGAATTTCTTAGCTATAGCTAAGGCAAATCTGTGTAAAAACATAGAAATTCAACATCTTTTACCTGAAAAGCAACCCGTTGCTTACTTCAAACACTGTGGCAAGCTGACCTGTGTTGTGGGACTCCTGTTATGGCCCATCACAACATGCACAGAGAAAGCTATGATTGTAACTTCTGTGAGGTCAGTTGGGACTCTGAAAATTATTCTGGTAACCATAATAATATCCTTTCTATACCCATCTTACATTTATTTTGAAAGAGTTTTATCTTTTTCACAGGTTAGGAAACATAATGGACAAAACCTTCTGGCAATGAAGGAAGTCAATTTACACAATCCAGCATTTGGAAAGGACAAAAAAGACAGGGACAGCAGTGTAAAGAACATTGTCTCTGAATTAACCATCATCAAAGAGCAGGTATGTCTCATGGACTCTACTTTCCTAGAATCATTTAGGTTAGGAAAAGACCTTTAAGGTCATAGAGTCCAACCATTGTTTTGCAGCCAGCCAAACATGAGCCAGCGGTGTGCCCAGGTGGCCAAGAAGGCCAATGGCATCCTGGCCTGTATCAGGAATAGTGTGACCCGCTAGGTCTAAGGAAATGATCGTCCCCCTGTATTCAGCACTGATGAGGCAATACCTTGAATCTTGTGTTCAGTTTTGAGTCCCTCATGACAAGAAAGACCCTGAGGTGGTGGAGTGTGTCCAAAAAAAGCAGCAAAGCTGGTGAAGAGTCTAGAGAACAATTCTTACCAGGAGCTGCTGAGGGAACTGGGTTTGTTTAGCCTGGAGGAGGCTGAGGGGAGACCTTTATTGCTCTTTACAACTACCTGAAAGAAGATTGTAGTGAGGTGGGTGTTGATCTGTTTTCCCAAGTAACAGGTGATAGGAGAAGAGGGAATGGCCTCAAGTTGCATTAGGGGAGGTTTAGAAGATGAAAATTTTTTTCACTGAGAGGATTGTTAGACATTGGAACGGGCTGCCCAGGGAGTTGAGTCACCATCCCTGGAGATATTTAAAAGATGTGTAGATGAGATGCTTAGGGACATGGTTTAGTGGTGGACCTGGCATTGCTGTGTTAATGTTTGGCTTCAATGATCTTAGAGGTCTTTTCCAATCTAAATGATTCTATGAATCTGTCTAGCAGGGCTTCCAGCTGCTATTACTGTTTTTGTCTGATCAGTACAATATTGGCCCCTTTTACCTGAATGTTGCCAAAATTTATAACCTTACTGTAGTGTGAGCAGAAGTGTAAATGGTTGTTACTAAAGATTTTTACTTTCTGTGTTGGCAATATTGGAACTTTTTTTCAGGGATTCTGCAAAGTGATACTGTGATAGAAAACTTGCGAGTCCTTGTTCCATTTAATAAATTCTTGGATTTAAAATACAGTGGGAAGATAGTATTTTTTTTTATAACTGAAAATTAAAACCCCACACTGGTCATTAGTGTTCTTAGACTAAGAAGGCCAATACTTTGATGCAGGCATAATTGCCTATCTTCAGAACTTCATTTACTCTTTCAATTGTTAAGGGGTGAGTGGATACGAGTTGTGCTGTATTTTCCTCCTGATTGCTCTAGTAACGTGCAACACTTTGCTGTGTTTGGGATAGCAGTGAAGGTCTACTGCTCTGCAGTTCATGAGAAGGTTTGTGAAATCCTTGCAGAATCCTTCAATCCAGTGTATAGCTAAGCATTAGAAATACTGTGCAATCAATTTAACTGTTCTAAACATTGCCCCTTTTTCCCTTGTTTTAGCTTTATCATCCAAATGTTGTCCGGTATTATAGAACCTTCCTGGAAAGTAAGTATAAATGCAGAGAATTACAACATTGTGCATACCAAAGAAATAGAAACCTATAGTAAAACCACTTACAGCTTGAAAGGATTGTTTCAAATTTGAGCAATAAATGGTAACATTTTCTTCAAGAACTGCTACAATACAGACAAGCTTACATTCATTTAAAATTGAAAAGAGATGAGAACTAATATTTATATTTGTTTACCTATCAGTAAAACAAGATGCAATGTAAACGTGTAGAAAGCACCATTCCCATCGCCTAGAGTTAGAGATCCAAAATTTATGGCTGGTATGCTATGTAGGGAGAAAAGCTATAGTGACTAATAGAATAAGTGAGATACATTGCTCAGCCATATTGTCATAATTTCTTTTTTTATGAAGAGTTTACTACATACACCTGCCTGCTGAGTGATTGTCAGGCAGTGAATTCCTTATTGTTGCTGTGACATAAATTGAGGAAAAATAAAGGAATGATGACTAGAACTATGATTAAAATGCATTTGTACAAATATAATTTTTTAAAAGGTAAAAAAATAACAACTTAAAAATATATTTTAACTTCAAATACTCTATTTTAAGATGTCTTCTATGTAAATGTACTGTTCTATTAACTTGTTTATGTAGATGACAGATTGTACATAGTCATGGAGCTCATAGAAGGAGTGCCTTTGGGACAACACTTCCACTCATTGAAGGAAAAGCATCAACAGTTTACAGAAGAAAGAATATGGCATATATTTATCCAAGTAAGATCCTCCACGTTTTTTTTGTTACCCGGACTTTCCTGCATGTAATTAGTAGTGCCATTTATGTTTGTTATGATCATAGAATCGTTTGGGTTGAAAGGGACCTTAAAGATCATCTCGTTCCAACCCCCCTGCCATGGACAGGGACACCTCCCTCTGGACCAGGTTGCTCAAAGCCCCATCCAGCCTGGCCTTGAACATTTCCAGGACTAGTAAATGACAAAGTAATATTTAAGACGCTAATATCAGATATGAGTTTAATTTTATATGTCTTTATTTAGGTTCTAGTTAAGAAACTTTGCAAGGCTCTTTCTATTTGTTTTTAAGCTGTGTCTAGCTCTTCGTTATTTGCATAAAGAGAAAAGGATTGTTCATCGAGACCTCACTCCGAACAACGTCATGCTGGGGGATAAAGACAAAGTTACAATTAGTAAGTAAAACTACTTTACTTGAAGAGAGTTTCTCATGATGCATATGAATAGCATTTCTTTACCAAAACTCTCAGAAGGTTTCAGGTTCCTAGACATTGGCCACTGTACTTGAAAGCTTGCAAATTATTGCATTATTGTACTATTATACTTGCGTTATTATACAGTGGTGACCATTGCCACCAGGTGCCATCAGCCATGACTGTATGTATGTCAAATATGATGGAGGAGATTATTTAACTTTAAAGAAAATTAAACCGTAGTTATGCCTCAAGGCCTGTTTTTATTTAACTGTGTGAGAATATTGAGATAACCAGATTCGATAACAAGTGCTAATGGATTGTAGTGGTTTGACCTTAGATGATGGCCAGGTGCCCACCACAGCCACTCTGTTGCTCTCACTTCTCAACTTTGTGCTTCTCAGAACCTTTACCCTGACGTTAGTTGTAATCGTAGTGTCAAATTTTGTGTAGCAGCAGAGGACGCCAGTGCAATGGGGGTGGCCCAGATTTGAAAGTTCTCCAGGAGCCGACGTTGGTGCAGCACCGTGCTCTCCTTTGGATGCCTTTCGCATCCCGGTTCTCCTTGGAGCTGGTATCTCTGTGACTCCCAGAAGCTGAGCCCTCAGTGTAGTGGCAAATTTTCTGTCAAAGCTCCTGACCCCGGGCTAGTGGGGCAGGGGGTGGCCCAGGGGATGCCTTTTGCATCCCTTTTGTCCTTGGTGCTGGTAGCTCTTGGCTTCTCAGATCCTTAACTCTAATCTTAGTGGCAAATTTTACGTAGCGACAGAGGACCCCAAGATCATGGAAGTGGCTCAGATTCAGAAGTTCTCTAGGAGCTGATGTTGATGCAGTGTCGGACTCTCCTTTGGATGCCTTTTGCATCTCTGTTGTCCTTGGAGCTAGTAGCTCTGTGATTTTCAGGACCTTAAAACTAATTAATGTTAATTATAATCATAGTGTCAAGTTTTATGTTGAAACTAATGACCTCTGGCTCATGGGGGTGGCCTAGATTCAAAAGTTCTCCAGGGAGCAATGTTGGTGCAGTGCTGTGCTCTCCCTTGGAAGCCTTTTGCGTCCCGGTTGTCTTTGGAACTGGTAGCTTTGTGCTCCTCAGAATCTTAAGCCTAATCTTAGTGGCAAAATTTACATCAAAGCTAATGACCCCGGGGTCGTGGGGATGGCCCAGGTTAGGAAGTTCTCTGGGAACCCGTGTTGGAAACAACAGAACATGAAATATAGTGAAGAGCTCATGGGTTGAGATAAGGACAGGGAGATCACTCAGCAATTACCGTCACGGGCGAAAGAGACTCGACTTGGAGAAATTAATTGAATTTATTACCAATCAAAGTAGAAAAGATTAATAAGAAATAAACCCAAATCTTAAAAATAACACCTTCCCCCCTTCCTTTCTTCCTCGGTTTAACTTTACTCCCAATTCTTCCACCTCGTCCTGCCAGGTGCAAATGTATTCAGCAGTTGTTTTATTTTGAGTATTTGTAACTGTTGATGTACATACTTAAATTAATTCATTGTTAAATTGTATGTGCTAAAATATTCTGGTTCGTAGTAATAATAATGACAGAGTTTTGAAAGAAGGTGATTTTATGGATTGTATGACTCAGTGATGAAAAGAATCTCGGAGTATTAAAAGTATTGGATAGTTGTATTTTATATCAACATACTGCCACTGAGGGGCACTCTTGTCTTGGTTTAACTTTGCCGTGTTTGTGGTCCAATCTAGATGTAAAGTGTAAATGTACTTTCAAATGTAACCTCAAAATTCGCGTTGAAAAATGTTAAAATTTCTGTCGAAGATTTACTGCACCTGAGAAAAAGAAGAACTGAAACTTATTTTGACCATTTCTATAGTGATTGGTCTGAAACTACTGCAATATTTAAACAAACACTATATTTAGTATTTTAGTTAGTACCAATGTACACTGACTTTTTGGAGGGAGCTGAAGACCTTTTATCTATTGCTTCTGAATTTCACTGTGCCTTGTTGTTTTACCAACTTAATGAATTTAAGAATTGTTAAATTTTGTTCCAGTGATAGTAAATATGTACTGCATTGGTACATGTCATGAGATAATGCCTAGCTTATACAGTCCATGTATACCAAAGACTGGAGCATTTGCAATCTTGATAAATATATCTCACAGTACTTGTGGATAGGTGTACTGTCCATTTTAGAATTTCAGCTGGTTTTAGATGTAAGTAAAAAAAAAACAGATCAAGGGAGAAGCGTATGCTCAAATATTGAGAAATTGTAAATCTGCCTCTGCATGAATTCAACCTGTCGTTCGAAATTGGTAGAGAAATGTTACTGAAACTGTACGTCTATGGTCAGGGTGAATGTCTGATTTATAATTTCTGATGCATACACAGAAAAGTATAATTTTATGGACAACCTGAATGAAAGTTATTTTGTGTAGGGTTTTAGAGATTCATTGAATCAAAATTATCTGTGGCTCTCAGTTTAATGTGCCCAGTCATTTTGTATAAGACATTGAGAAGTTATAGTTTTCTGAAAGTTTGTATCGGCTTTTAGGGCAGCTATATTTTACTGCAGCTGTATTTTTTTTTTCTAGCACAGCATATTTCTGTCTAGAGCTCCATAGCTGCATCTGTTTGTGGGACAAAACAGAAGACTCTGTAGATCATCACTTTTCCTCAGTGTCTTCTAGTGTAGCAAGGTCTAGATCCTGATGGTAAAATAGGACTGTGTGGAATCCCTTTGATACCTTTCAGGTCTTATCTCAAGGAAAATCATGGAAGGTTCCATACACTTTTTTGGGTGGCATACTCTGTTTAATGTTTAGTGCACATGATAGAATAGCAGCAGGAAGGGTCCGTATGGAGCTGACACCTGGTCTTATACAGCAGCTTTGAGATAACTCACCTGTCTGATGTACTTCTAATCATAGCAGGCAGCCATGAAGTTTCAGGATGGTGAACTGAATGAGACTTGAAAAGTTCAATTAGTTGCTGGATGCTAGAAGAAAGCTACCTGTTAATGTTGTCATTCAGAATACTTACCTGCTGAGTGCATTTTAGCTCTTGATTCTGTGCCATGCCCAGAGAACCAATGTCTGTGACGTAAAGTGGATATAACTAGTGTCTGTTATGTGTTAGTCACTACTTTTCAAAGTCAATTTGATCTGCTCATCTATTGCAGATTATATGGCTCATTTAACCAGTCTTCATTACCAGAATTGCTACTTTTCATACTAAGATTCCAGAAAATGCTTGTAGCACTTCATTTTCAAAGCTTCCATGATAGCTGAGTGGGATTTTCCACATAGAATCATAGAATTATTTAGGTTGGAAAAGACCTTTAAAATCATTGAGCCCAACCATTAGTGTAGCACTGCCAAGTCCACTGCTAAACCATGTCCCTAACTGCCACACCTACATGTCTTTTAAATACGTAACTCTGTAAATCAAACATTCTGGATGTTATTGGTGGATTGATAGTACAGTCACATCTCTCTACAAATCTCAGTTTTAGATGTGGATCAATGCTAATGTTCTTAGTGGAGAAGTTAGAAGCTGCACCAAACTGACAGTAGACTGAGTTTACAAAGCACTGATATTAGCACGCAGACAGGAGAATGATAGAAATTCTGTTCCCATTCTGTTGATGAAAAAGAATAGAATAAGTATGTACTACTGTTGATTAAATTGCAAATTACCTTGATTTTAGGATATGTTTTTATGGAAAATAAAATTAAAGTCTGATTTTTGTCTTCCAAATCACTGTAACTCAGTAAGTTGCTGGCAAACTTTCTTGATTACAGTTGCAAACTTACTGAAGAGAAGCAAAGTAATGTTTTCTCATCCTGAGCCTTTCAGGGTAGAAGAAGAAACTGTTCAATGGAGACACAGTGAATATCTGACCTGAGTAGGTCTGAAGTTCACATATGTGGTGAATATGATGCTCCATTCATCCTCCTGTTTTGCTTTGCTTTTAGTCTTTGTGTGAATATTTGATTTTAGAAAGAATTAATGGCATTTTCAAATAGAGTTCAAATATAAATTAAGACAACAAATGTGCAAATATGAGACCAGTATTGTTAAGATGTAGTATCTGCAAAATTTACCTCTTTTTTTTTTTTTTTTTTTTTACTGTAGAAGATCAATCTACTAGGTGAAATCTTTGGGAAATAAAATGGCAAATATAAAAATAGATGCTGTCAATAAAAGAGAAAAAAACCGCTGCAGATACCTAAAATGCTCATTTAAAGAGAATGCTAAGATTTAGAAAGTTTTTGTAATTCAGCTATTATGAAAGTTGAAGAGATCATTCTGTAGGAGGTTAAAACACTAGTCAAGTCAACCTACTCATTTTTTCACAGTTCGTTCTTCCTGTCATGCCCTCTTTCCTGGCATGTTAACATTTTCTGAAACAGTCTTACTTCATTTTCACTTACTCTGTTACCATAAACAGAATGTAAACGAGAGAAAACAAGTGAAGAAGGATGTTTCAGAATCTAAAGGAATACAACTGCATCGTTTTGTGCTAATTTTTCTTTCTATTTGAGGATCATCTTGCATGGTTGTTTGACTATTTTTTAATGAATTTAAAAAAACCCAACAACTTAGTTTTGTAACTTCCTGATATATGGAGGAAAAAGCCCTCAAGGCTTAGTGTTTACAATCACAGGACAAAATCTAGCCAAAATAATACTACCTTGGAGAGATATGACTATTGATAATGAATTGCTTGTGAAATTGCATGTCCTGTCATAGTTTGTAAAGATCCATCTAATGGTGAAAGTTTTGTTATTTTTTTATTGTCTTTGAACAGACTTAAAAATAATCATCTAGATGACAACCTTTCAGCCATTAGAGAAATTAGCTGTAAGGAAATTATGTCAGTTGAGGTTGCACAGTAGACAAAGCACCAAAAACTATCACCATGAAAATTTTGTTTTAGAAAACTTGCTAGATTGATGTATCTACTATTCCCCTCAGTTTACAAACTCTCATACATTAGGATGGTTCAGTAAGTTGTAGTGGTGACATGTGTATAAGTCACATGAACCTAAGAAAATAAAGTAGTCTTTAAAATCAGAAAATTTATATTTTTTAAAAATTACCTGTGCAGATGAAAACCACCATTACTTTGCAGCAACAGACAACTTTTTTTTTTTTTGAGCAGGTAGGTAGATCTTTCCACATTAAAGCTCCAAGAATGCTTCCTCATGGAAATGTGTCATCAACTAGCATTTTGGTTTTAATTCAGCTATACTACAAAATAACAATTATTTAGTTTATTTTTGATCCCAAAGAGGTAATTTTTACTTTTTGAGAAAGTAGGACAATTTAACAGTCAAAATAAAGTAGTTTATTATTTTGGGGAGGTGAGGGGGAGTTGCCTCTCTAATACCAATTTTATTCCTGCATTGCAAGTCTGCAGAGAGCAACAAGTTGTAGACAATTCAATGATTTTAGGACTGCTGAGTCAGGTCTGTGACTAGATCAAAGCAGTATGAAAGTAGCCTAGAAAAAGAGTGAGCTAAACTCAAGTTCCAGATGAGCTGATTTCCAGAGGCTGTGCAAGAGAGGGGCAGGACTGGTCTTTTTAATGGCAGAGGGTTACTAGCTCATCTTTCTCATAGAATCTTGCTCTGAATCACCAAGATGGGTTTGTAGTTTCACCTTTGGATGGACTATTGCAACATGCATTTCTGAATCCTGCTGTTGGCAGTGGTTGGTTGGCCTGCCTGCCCTCTCCCTTCCTCCTGTTTTGTCCTGCCTTTGCTCCTGCCAGCCTTTACTTTAGACATATCATAGACATATCATAGAATGACATAGGCTGGAAGGGACCTTAGAGATCATCTAGTCCAACCTCCCTGTGATGGGCAGGGACGCCACCTCTCGACTAGACCAGGCAACGCATGGGGACTTTAGTTTGACTTCCTGGTTTATGAAGCTTTCATTGGCCTTTTAGCTATTAGACACCTCACTGTACACCTTTGGAATTAAATATCTGAGAAAGTCTACTCTTCCCAACCATCATAATTTGAAGGAAAGCAAAATAATTGCTAATTTAATTACATTGTGTTTTCTATTAATTTGGACATTAGATCACTGCCTGTTAGATACCATTGTCGTCCAGTTTGTTGTAATATATTAATAGAAACCTGAAACTGATCATGTAGTTTTGGATTGAAAACATCAGAGGTATGTTTATAATATTTTTAAAGCTGGTTGGCCTGGTTCAAACATAGGTTTTTGAATCATGTGGAGATAGGAAGATAGTATGGTCCAGTACTGTGAAATGTAAAAGATAAAAAAACCCCCAAACCTCCCTTCTGCTCTTCCCCAACTTTTCAGGTGTTATGAACCAGCACTGCTTGTCATGCACAGAAGGTGGTTATTGACGTGAATATTTTTTTCTTTATTGTAGCTGACTTTGGGCTTGCAAAGCAAAAGCAAGAAAACAGCAAACTGGCATCAGTAGTGGGAACCATTCTATACTCGTGGTAAGTACTCCAGCATTCAGTCCAGTGACTTCCGTCTTCATGGTTACTTTTTTGGAGCAAACAAACAAGTTACAGTGGAGTAAAAAACAAGGTGCAAGTTAACCACCTACAGCTATTCTGCAGTTGTTGGTTGCTTGCCTATTTTGCTGTTGCCTGTTCTTGCACACAGCAGTTACTGTGGGTTAAGTTGATGTAAAAATGAAGTAACTGCAGTTCTGTGGTAACTTGCTCATCTATATCCTTATAGACAAAGAACTGTGTTTTCAAGTTCTAAGAAGATGTATGTAAACAATATAAATTGATTTTAATGGCTTTTAATGTGATTATGGCTTCAATGTTCAGTTACATTGTATGTGTGGACAACTTACGTTCTGAAAAATATTTGAAATGGGTGCTAGTCGATTTTGTTTTGAATCAGTAGGTATTTGGTTTAGTAATTGAACTGAAAAAATATTTTCTGAAATTTGAGATTTTTGGTGGTGGAAAAGCATGGCATGCATTGCAATTTAAGCTTAGCAAATGCATAAATGACTGCCCTAAAATTTTACCTTAGACAATACATTATTCAGTCTGCTGAACAAGCTACAGTTCCCTTTGGCCTCCCATTTGTGAGCAAGCCAAAGGGAGGAACTGTATTGTGTTAAACCACAGTAACTAATTACTACCTAGGTTCCTGGATTCCTACTGACTTGTGTTTTGTTTTCTCAAGAATGTGGAAAAGAAAGCATTTCTTATCCAAGAGGTTCCTCTTAATATGCAAACAGCATATGTAATTGAGAATATTCCGTGTATGTGAGATTCTCTCAAAAAAAAGTTATTGTGGGTATGACAGAGTATTGATTTTTGTGTTGCATGACATAAATAACAAAAATGAAACATGCTCGTTAATTAAGGTTACTGTATTGTGAACAAAAGGAAGCAAATGTAATCTGGGTAAAAATCTAAATCATGGAAAGTACAAGCTCAGTATTCTTCTAATAGCAGTTGATGTGTTCTGGGCCTGCCATTTAAGCTGGGAATTTCTGTTGATTGAAATATTAACCGTCAGAAATCAATTAAGGAATTGCTAATTCGTGCCAGTGTTTTGGGTCTCTCCATTTTCAAAATTATTGGTTAAGCTTTGCCTACCCTAATTACTGTTTTATTAAGGAAATATGTTTACAGTCTGCTCAGTTGAAGCCTTGCAGATCCAAGCAGACCTCATTCCTCCATGGCCTTGTTCCAGCTTTTTTGCCACACCTTTTTACATACAGCTACTTTCCCCTCTCCTCAAAGTCACCCTGTTACTTCTACTCAGCATACAGTTTTCTAAGGTTTGAAGTTGCTTTTCTTCTCTTAGGGACTTTCTTTTGTCCTTATTCCCATTACTGTAAATTACCAATTCTAGCTCCCATAAATAAAGTGAAGTTTCGTTGGCACAGAGAATAGAAAAACTACAACGAATGACACATAGCAAAGATAAGAACGTTGCACAGCATGCAGTCTATATTCTTAATATTATTTCCTGTCTTCATTAGTGCTTTTAATTTACAAGATACCTGCCAGTAAGGAGAAAAACCTGACAGGATGTTAAATCCTAAGTAAAACTGTACATGGTTTCATCCTAAACTATTTGTAAGACCACTGGGCTGGCTGGGGCATTGGCAGTATCTTTCTCAGAAGTTTATAGGCAATTTTGATGTCAGTCACGTTCGATTTTTCTTTTCTGCTGTGGTGACCGCATGTGATGGACATACACGTGCCAGAATATTTGGTCTGCATGCTTGTAATAAGTAACTAAAAGTTCTAAGTTATCAGGAGAGCTACTAGTAAAAAAATTAAGAGGCAGAGTCAAGAATTCAAGTGTTAAACATTTGAATATAATTCACATTGCCACTTTCGAAATTGTTAGTTGTAATTTCCTAGTCCCATAATGATAATGACTGACACTTAATCCCTAGGAATTGCTAAATTCTAAAATTACTTCAAGAGTGAGTCCTTGTAATGTGCTAAATATTCAAGCCCCATACCTTGAAGATGAATGCTTATGCTGCTTCATCATGAGCAAAAGGCTGCCTTAACTGGTTCTCTGAATACTCCTGAAGCATAGCGTGATCTGAGAGCACTGTACAACCTGTGAGTGATAGTTTGGATAGTTAAGTGTAGTAACAGTTTGGTGTAAGTAGTTCTGTGCTCTCTTTTTTGGCTCCTCTTGAATAATGATTTGTTTTGCTCAGCTGTAACTGTACAGAGAAGCTGTTGATGGGAAGTTATTGCTCTCTTTTAAAGAACAGTTTGGAGTAAAGTGTCTGTAAGTTGGATCAGTCTTTAGAAATGTGAAGTTCTAAACCATGCCCCAGTGGCCCTCAGGGCCACTGAGTTGTAATGTTCTTATCCTATCTACATTCACTTCTTTCTTTTTTTTATTTTTTCCTGTTAGATTCTGTCACTGATGTCTTTGGATTTTTTTCAAATTTTATAGGAAATTAAATTAAATATTTCTTAAAAAAAAAGTGCTTGTACCACGTTTATCATTACTCTCATACCCTGTCTTTGTACATGGACGTTCACATCAGAGTTAGGCTTGGCAGCTCTTTTTCTCCCTCTTTGTTCAGTTATTTGGATGTAGGCATGAGGATAAAATGTCACTTATATGTTGCAGTGTCTCAGTAAGTGGTCTTTTGGGACATTACTTGTCAGTTCTACTCCACAGGCAGAATCATGTATGCAGTGATCCCTGCCTGTCTGCAGTCAGGAAAGAGAACAAGGATACAGTACTGATGTCTTTGTATTTAAAATGTATGCTTGAGGAATATTTAAAATGACAGGCTAAAGCATTAAAAATTTTCTGATGTCATAATAATTTAAGAATGGTAAAATGGCTTTGCAAACAGCTAAATGCACTGGATGCCACCTTCAAGGTACTTAGTACTGTGTGTGACAGGGAGCTTTTTGATATGGAAACCTGTTCACAAGGAATGAGGTGAACTGTCTGAGTATTTTAACACTGTCATGAAGCAGAAGTCAGAGTCAATCAGCGCTTGGACCGGATTGTTTTTATGTTTATGGGGGTTTTTTTATTTTAAATGATTTAATTAGATGTGAAGGGCTGTAAAATAATCAAAATACTGGGAGTGCATATCTACCAAGAGCAGTAATGCTTATTGTTTAAATTTGGCTGTGCAGCGTTATGCAGAGTGGTTCAAATAAAAATGTATCACTATGTACTAAACATGTTTATATTTGGGGTTGACCGAATCAATTTGCTAATGCAATTTTTGAGAAAATGTGTCACCATAAAATAACAGCAGACACTATTTTATGTTTAGAGAGGCGTTTATATTATTATGCTTTGTAATTGTGATGTTTTTTAATTCTACTTCATACTAGGTTTTATTCTACTACCACACTAATTAAATTCCTCTTGATTGGTTATGTTCGTGAATTAAAAAAACCCCATCAATGCATATGTCTAGAATACCAAATGTATTAAATGGATGTGTTGACACTTAATACATTAAAAATTGAGGAAAAGACTGCTTTAGGGAATTGGTAATGAATTCTGAAGTCTTTTTCCAGCTCATAAGTCACCAGAAACAATCTGCTCCAAGTTAGTGGTGACAGAGTCTTTATAATCCTGCTGTCTCAAAGGCCTTCTCGGAAGAGATAGAGTTTATAGAGAATGATGTTTCCTTTCATGTACACTGGCCGTTTCTTTCATTCACAGAAAGACTTATCTCTTACGAGGGGACGTGTCGACAACGGATCAGGAGATATAAGCAAGACATGGTTACAATAACTGCTTTTGTATTTATATACGTATATAGAAATATTAGAAAAACTTTAGGAAATGAAGTTTGAGATTGCGATGGAATGGAGATTCCCATGATAATTCCTTGAGAACTTGACTGATCTTGAAAAGCTGTTGGGAAATTGTGAAGATACCCTTCAAGTGTCATTAAGAAGCAGATGAGAGTGTTCCACATTAGTTGTTGAACTAACTTGATCTTTTTAAAAAAATTTTAAAATGTTGGAAAACTCACACATAGAACAATATTATGTAAGATTTGGCTTTAGTGCTAAAGTTGGCGTGTTTTCTCTTCGTGATGTTTTGAGGAAACTCCCATTTTAGTGGTAATTGGAGGTACTGTTTTAGTTGTGTCCCTCATCTCGGCTTTGGAGGAGAAAATATTCCTTGATCTTAGTATTTGTTTATGGATTACACAGTCAGTCTGCAAACTGTGTTATGTTACCCAAATTTCTTTTCTGGTTCTCATCACTGCTTCTCTTTATAGCCACTGCATGAATCAATATTGTAGCTGTTGTTTTCTCTTTGCTTATTCTGGTGACATGATAGTATTTTCAGTTACCTAAAACATTTCTTTGTTGGGAAGGATCATTTAAGATGAGGGAATGTGTTGTACTTTATATGCACTTAATTTTAACCCGCTGTATGATGCTATATGATCAAACTGTGATTACCGGTTCTCCCGGCGGTTTTTTCTTCCTTCAGAAATAGCCTCTGAATCTTTTCACCAATTCCAACCAGATTTTTAGGGTTTATATTCTTTCAATGTTTATGAAAATTTGGTGATGGATAGTGAATAGAAACACAATTTATTCTCCTTGGTGAAAAAACTGAAGGTACTGTGGGTAAGGGAGAGCAGAAAACTAGTGAAACTAGTGAAACTAGTTTTGTCATTCATGGGACAGCTGGGTCCTGGAGAGGATTGGCTGAGTTGATTTAGAAAGGTAACAATTCACATAATCTTTTTGGTATATCAGTACAGCATTTTTATCGGAGAATCTTCTGAAATCCAGTTAATACAAGTATTCACTCTGAGAATGAAAAATAGTGATGAAATGTAATCAGGATAGCATGGCTGTAGTTTAGGTTTATGATAATGTGTGTCAGCAAAACGTCCATTGCAACTTGAGTTGGAATCCACGGGGACAGTATTGCTGAGGAGAAGCAGATATCTTGCACCTGGGAAAACATAATCCAGGTGTGCAGCACAGGC